TTTCCCAAAGCCTCATCCACCCTGGCCTTGAACACTGCCAGGGATGGGGCCTCCACAACCTCCCTGGGCAACCTGTGCCAGTGCCTCACCACTCTAACGGGAAAGAATTTCTTTCTAATATCTAATCTAAATCGACCCTCCGTCAGCTTGAACCCATTACCCCTTGTCCTGTCACTACACTCCCTGATAAACAGTCCCTCACCAGCTTTCCTGTAGGCTCCCTTCAGAAACTGGTAAGCCAGTTGCTCAAGTACTCAGAAACTTTTTGTCTGTCCTTTCACCAACACTTGAATCCTTTTGCTCATGCTAAAGGCTGTTGTTTACCAGACTGGAAAAGGTCTGGTCAGCCTCCTAGATCACTAACTCCAAACCTCTGCTGCTGCAAGGAAATGTGTCTCAGTTTTATTCTTAAATGCATAATGACTGGCTGTCCTCACAGCTGCATCCTCAATACAACACATTACTCCATGGGTGCCCAATACAGAGACAGACTATGATCTCAGACTACATCCAAGGATATAGATGAGTTGGGTTAAAGTGAGACTGATAGAGATGTACGTACCTGCTCATACGGGTTTTCTCCTGATGAAAAAGGAGAAGACACAACATAGCTACAACTGTCTCTGCTTGGTCACTAGCCAAGTTCGCAGAGTTTGGAAGAGTGTAGGGGCGGGAAGGTTACGGGTGAGGTTGCTCAACTCTGCTACACAATAGTGTTAGTAAATATTTCAGCAATGTTCATTTTGAGCAAAGCATCCATTGTGCCAAGCTGCTTCCCCATGTGTCAGGAGCCCTGCTGTCCCCTGACAACTTCTCCCATGAGATTACGTTGCTGGGGAAACAGCCAGAGCATGCCTGCTATAAGAATCAAACTGTAACAACCTATGCAACAGGTAAAGGTGGTGCTGGGCAAAAACAGGGGCCTGGAAAGCTGGGCTAACCTGCATGGGCTTGTCCCTACTTGAAGAGTTTGGCCTGTTAGATATGATCGGGGGATATAGCTGGTTGGTTTGATGCTGAGTGCAGATACAGATGAGTCATATTCAACATTGTTAGGCAGCTGCAATAAAGCCATGGTCCTTGCACAGCACTCCCACTCCAGGGAGTACTGGTCTCAGCACACCCTTCACAACCCCATTCAGAAGCAAAACAGGACAAGGACCAAAAAGGCTTTAAATTCAGTTTGATTTTTCCTTTGCATTTTCTATTTTAGTCAGTGACATATACAAATATCTTCAGCTAAAAGCTTAAATACTGCTGGTTTTAAGACAAGCCAAGAAAATGAAGCAAGGACTAGCAGACTACCTGAGAGGACAGCTCTATTCTCTCTTGATAAAAGATAGAAGTCAAGGTGAAAAAAAGCCAGCAGTAGAATTTTTAGGAAAAAAAACCCCAAACTAACCTAACAATCTCATTCACCTCTGTTTTCCTGTCTTCTCATTCTATTAAAACCGAATGTTTCCATTATAAAAGCTGCACCAGTTTTACCTGCAGACAGATCTGTGCTCAACAGATAGCTGTGGTGGCAGAAAAAATGGCTGACCACTGCCCGTTCGTCACCTCCTGCAGTGTGGTCCCTCTGCCTCTTCTCCCACATTAGGTGGCAGGTTGCTTGTACAGGTGTGCACTAACTTGTTTCAGGTAGCCGAGACTGACTAGCCAAAGCCAGTCCATGTCATTGACAGAAAAAGAGCATGCTATTCCATCATTTTAATGATGTTTTATTCTTGAATCATTCATTACGATGAATGTAACAAACAAGAGCAAGTTTTGGGGGAATGCCTGGTTTTAACACTAAGTAGCAGTAACACTGAAACCCTAACTATGTTTTTACTCCTCGGCAATGCGTAGGACGCCAAGTGCTGCCTACACATCTTCAACAATGGAGAAGGAAATAACAGTACAGAGCTGCTCTAAAGATGAACTTCACTCTGCATCTTTCAATGCTGTTACAGAAATTTTGTCACTCTGCCATAAAACATCTCACAAGTCACAGTATACTACTAAATACAGGAACACACACAACAAAGCCAGTTTGTTGAGTGATATTCTTTAATAGCCAAAATGAATACTTATTCAGCTGTCAGTTACACCAGTTGAAGGCACTGTGCACAGCTAATGACAGTGGATGCACTCCTGTCTTTCAGAGTTATTTAATCTCTCTTAGGAGTTTGTTCTTTACCATAATGAAAGAACACATAAAGTACTACTGCTATTTGTATTATGAAGCAGTAATTTATGTAAGCACAACCATTATGAGTTTAAGTTGTAAACAAAAAAAGCTGCAGAACTACTGTCTTTGCCAAGCAGGAAGCCTAAACATCGTGTATGAAAATCCACTGTATTATGGAACAGAAATTTGGGTTCATTTTATGTCTTGAGAATGTACTGACCTTGCACTAAGATTTAAGGTATAATTCAGTGCCTACTTTGAACTCTACAAAATAACTGACTGCTTTTGGCAGCACAGTCACATGGCTTAGTAAGCACACACACATATGTCCATAACTGTAAATCAAGTATTACTTGATGTATTTATCAAGTCACCCCTCTTCACCAAAAGGGCCTCCACTAAAGAGAAACCTAAATATACAACATCATTTCTGCTGGTATGTTAAAAGAAATCCATAACATTGGTGTGCCAAAAGACATCTTTAAACATTGCAAACATGCATTTTGTAGAGTTATTTCCTGAAAGAACTTTGTCAGAAAGTCAGTTGGTGGTGTTTGAGGGCAAATTACAGGCATTCTTTATGGATTTGACTTTATTTAGCAGGCCTGTTATCAGTGTAATCAAGACTAATTAAGACTCAGCAGTAATTGCCCAGAGTTATCTTTAAGGCTATAACAAGCATTGGATCAGAACTAAAAAGAGACTCTTCTCACAAAAGAAATCCCTAATCAGAAAGGGGCTTTTCATTCACTGTCTTGAGCACTTCAGTAGGTCTGAATTTAAGAGGCTGTAAATAAACTGTATCCTTTTATTTACAAAATATATAGGAAAAATCTTTCCAGAATTTGTTAGGAATACTTCACACTATTTTCTACAGCCTTTCTGAACTCCCCTTACATACCTTAATCACACATAGCAAGTGAAGAGCTGTTGAGTCACAAAACTCTTACTTGGTCCTTCAAAGCTTCCCCTCTCTCTGCAAGTGAGGTTACAGCAGCATACCAAACACTTCCCAGAAAACTAAAGCAGCACCCTCTCACTGAAAATGCTGTTGAAGTCATACTGCAACCATCTGCTCCAACACACTGCTATCCTCATAAGAGCCACAGCAGCTGGAAAGGAGGTAAGGGAAGGAAAGGGACATACAGCACCTTGCACTAGTCAGACACAAGCAAGAATGATCCAGACTCCAAGCAAATGGGAAGCCCAGGAGCTACACTAGGCCAGGACTAAGCAGAAGACAAATATCCTGTTTCTTGGTAGGGCTCGTTACTTTCACCTCCACATCATGCTAACTGAACTCATCAGCTGTCTGGTTGAAGTCAGTCTGCATCCAGGCAGCACAGGCAGAGCTTCCAAGCATTTGCAAAACCAGATAAACACACTTAAGAGCCCTTCAGGAGTCATGACTGTCTTCTGATTTTGCATTTACGACAAAGTTAGCATTACAGCACATAGCACATGTTCATAGAATTTGATGATTATTCTCTCTTCTCCCCTCCTCCTATTCTCTTCCTCCAGCTGCCCATCCCTGCCAAAGAAAGATCACACATGTAACGTATTTCAAAAAAGTCATCTAGGTCACAACCACCTAAACACATGCCAGATTCTGCCCATCACTACAGTTGCAAGATAAGAGAACGTGACATTTTCACAGCAGTCATCAATACACTTATCAGTCCAAAGCACTGACACTACCAAAAAGCATTTACAGCTGGAAAATCCAAGAATGTGTGTAATCCTGCTATTGAGCTCTCACAAAGACTCTTCTGGGAACTGTTTAGAGGCAAAAGATTCATCAGATATGCCACAGGATAATAAAAACAAAGCAAATAGTTCTTTCCATGTGAGAAACAAGTTTGTACACAGACAAAACAATACTATTATTGCTGCCACCTAGGCTTCAGAGAGAGCACTCTGTCATTGGAATTCACTGCTTTACAAGACAGACCAATATGCTAAGAACACAATGAAAGGAAGATAGCAAAGGGAGCCTTGAACTCAGGAGGTAGGATAATATTTCAACTCTTTCCTAAAAACAAACTATTTGGCTGAAAAATTTAAAACTTACCTGCTGTAGCTTTCGGAAAAACTCTATGAAGACATCACTATTGGTAATATTTGAATCCAAAGTAACTGAAAAACAAGAGGAAAACAGGGACGTAAAAATCCAAACTTAGCCAAAAGATGACATGGTGTTTAAAAAGAAGATGTATACCATGTGACTACTGATTAAACCATCAGTGCTACTTTACTTATCCTTCGGTTTCTGCACAGCTACCTTTACTAGCCTGTTGTTAAATCACTGAAGCCATGAACAGTGCAAAATACCTGTAGTGTTGCTATTCTCCCAAAGCAAGACTACAGTAAGGTTCTTGGCCACATAAATCCATGGTCACTCATGGCCAGTGGCTCTAAAAGGAACTGTTGAATACTCAGGTGAAAAAGAGAAAATAATCACTAAGTAAGGTTTTAAAGACTAATCTTGAGTCTGTTTTGTAAGTCTTGGCACAAAGTATTGAGGCCAGAGGCTCTACAACCTCTTTAAGCTCATCTCCTCACACACCCTTTGTTTTGGGTAGTTGAAATGGGTGGGTGGGGGGTGTGTGTGTCTGTTTGGGTTTTGTTGTAGTGGTGGTGTTTTGTTGTTGTCTTGTTTTTTTCTTCCCCCATTTCTTGGCTTACGTGAAACTCACAAGATGCATTCTGAGGATCCCGCAGACCTGGTTTATAACACAACACATTGCACCTGAGATTTTGTAAAAAACCAAAACCAACCAACCAAACAAAAAACCCACCCCCAAACACTCTTATCTTGTTATGATTCTCACAAGTCTGTCCGGAAACCCTTGAAGGGAAGAGGTTTATGCAGAGCCTGGTTCCATATTACACTTCTACCAGTCCAAGTGCCTGCCTTTTCTGCCTCTCTCTTTTACCCACCAGCTGTGAGTTCTCACACCCAGCCCTGTGTCAGCTCTGGCAGTTGTGAAGCAGCAGGAGTGGGTGGCACAGCTCACTGATATAGAAGAGCAGAGAACAGCCAGACCACAGGCTAACACCAGAAGGACAAGCTGGATTAAGTTTAGTGTGAAACTGCACCCTTACATTTTGGGAAGGCTGCAGAAAGGCAGCCTCTTCAGAAATAAGAGGAGAAATGATATGCTGCTGTTCTAGAGCCAGTGAATCAGCAGAGAGCACAGGGCTGCAATGCTTAGCCCCAGCCTTTTAGGTATACCCTTACGCAGCTCAGCATAGAAGGTAAAGCACCCTACAGTCATAATTGTGAACACATACTCAAAGGTTGAAACTCCACATATGAAAGCTGATCAGGTTGTTATAACTAAGCTTACCATTCTGAAGGTACTGCTCCAGCTGAGAGCGTCTCTCATCTGCCATCGACTTGGTCATTGCCAGGTAAAACTTTGGAGGGAAAGCAGGCACAGCACTCCCAAAAAGCTGCCTCAGCTGCAAAACAGCCAAAGGAAAGCTCTGCATTAGTGAAGAGGTATTCACAGTATCCAAGGAGCTTTCAATGCTCTCTTGTTTTGACAGCAAGATATGATGGCCTGCAAAGAGCATGGGGATACCCACCCAGCACCTCCCTGATGGCCCTCAGGGCCCATAGCAAGAGCAAAGCCTTTGTCCGGGCAGCCACCAGAAGACAGCCCAAGTGAGCAGCCTCTTTGGATGAGTTTCTCATTTTTACAGTCTTACCACTTCTGAGCTCCTGTTCCAAGTCAGAAAAGCATCATTGTACTAACCTTATCAGGTAGGTCTTATACACCTCATGGACAAGCACAACATAAATACAGATGTCTTCTTCACCAATATGTCCATACAGGATTTCTTTGATCTATACCTACAGAACTACTTTTTAAGAACTGGTAACTTCTGCATTGACTTGTGCTACCCCAGAGGCTTTTATTATTTTGTCTGTGAGAGGTAGTATCTTTTATCAGATCATCTAATATTGTCAAAGGGAAAAAAACCCCACTCAACAAAAAGCAGAGAATCTTTCAAGAATACAGTGTTTGAAAGTTTGATTCTTCCTCCAGCTATGTCAGCTGGCTAATAAGAGAATAATGTCTCTGTGTATAAACGTACCTCATTTATAAACAGATCTGCAAGGACTAGAAACCACTATTATAGTATCTTATAGTAGCATAAAATAGTTCCAGTATAGGTTTGGGCACTAATTGGTCACTTGTAGGTGTAAAAACTCTCTGCTATAAGCAAATTATCTCAAGACAAGGATGAGATATGGTTACCTTCCCAATATGCACATTACTAAACACAGCAAAATGCAGTGAGCTTGTCTGTAAGCATTCCTTCACCTGAATCAAAAGAATATGGCATGTGATCAGTAAAGTGAGACTCCTATAGCATGCTGAAACATTACTACTAATTAAATTTTCACCACCAGTATTCAACTTGGCAATTAGTATCACTAAATCCTGTGAAATATGACATTTTCCCTCTGGCCCTGGCTGCCCAAGTCTTTCACATGACTCCAGCAGCTGAAGCTTGAAGAACAAAACCCCCCAAACTATTACTACTGCGAGAATTAGCAATATCTTTTCCTGCCTGTTGGCTAAAAACAGGAGGGAGGCATATGCTCCCAGCTCCACTTTCCCTCCATTGGCAACACACTGATATTTCCGAGTTCTTGATTATTAGATATGCATGAATCACTCAGAGATACACAGCATAAAAGAGTTAGATAACACTACATGCTCTGGTTTTATGTCAAGTTAACAGTAGTAGCTAGTATAGAGTGCTTTTTATCTTCAAAGTCCTTCACATATGTGATCTTACCCCAAGGACTAAAAAAAAAAAAATATCTCTGCTCTACAGGCAGGCAAACTGAGGAGATACATGAAAAAAATTGCCAGAAGTCAGAAAGCCAGAGCCACACTCACAACAAGAAGGTCCTCTCTCCTCCCTTTGCATTTAGGCCATCCCTCACCTACAAAGCTGTGCTGTCTGTTATCATTGGTTTACACAAGCAGAGACTCTGGCCTACTTAAAAAAATTAATTCATCTCAGTACCAGCTGCTTGGTAAGTTCCTTGAAATGCAGTTGTGTGTCCTCAGGATTTGGGCTACACAGAAGAGACACTTATCTCAGCTGATTACACTTTTGCATCTCAAATAATTACTGAAAAATGCCCATAAACTTTAAGTGTGTATTTGTGTACAGTGTTGAAAATCTGCCAGACTATCAGCCACCAGCACGAAATTTCAGTCTAGCAGAATGAAACTAGCCAAGTATTCAAGTCCTCTCAGACCCCACAGCCTAGGCTACATTTTAAATGCAAGTCAACAACACTGTATCTGGTGGTGCCAGGTATCAACTGCCTGCTGCCCTGACAGGCCAACACCACCACAGGAGACGGGTCTCCTACCCAAAAACCTGCTTCTGACTTTTTTTTTTTTTTTTTTTTTTTGAGGCTCTGGGTTTGTTTCTGCAACCTAAAGCCACTCAGCTGAAGACATGTATCTCAGCCCCATGCCAGGGTGCCCTGTGCACTGCTGTTTTCTCTTGTCTGGACCAGCCATGTACTTCCAAGCCATCCTGCTCCACAAGCTGTCCAAGGAGACCACCTCCACCCTTTGGCCTCTGTGGTGGGTTGACCCTGGCTGGGGG